CCCCCCCCCAGCTCCATCTTCAAGCACGACTCCCTGCGCATGAACTCCACCAAGTCCATGATCGGCCACCTGCTGGGCGGCGCCGGCGCCGTCGAGGCCATCGCCACGCTGAAGGCCATCGAGACGGGCTGGCTGCACCCCACCATCAATTTGGAGGAGCCCGATGCGGGCGTCCGCCCCGAGCTCGTGTGCGCGGGCGAGAAGCAGCGGCAGGACGTGGATGTGGCGCTCTCGAATTCGTTCGGGTTTGGCGGGCACAACTCGTGCGTGCTGTTTTCGAAGTACAAGGCGTGAGCGGGGCCAGAGGGCGTCTCGGCGTTCCTGCTGCGCCGGGGGGCGGCGTCCCGCTGCCTGGGTCGCGCGCCGCAGCTGCGGGGGCCCAAAGCTTGAGTCATGGCGGGGCGTCATTGTCTCAGAGCACTGCAGTTATCGATCAGGCCAGTGCCGCGCAGTCCATCACCTACCCACCACCCAACACGAGCCGCCGCGGCCGCCGCCGCCCTTTTTTCCGTTTGATACCGTTGGCGCCCGTCTTGCGGGTCTGATCTGATCTGATGTGATTTGTTTGGCACGAAACGCCGCCCGCGAGACGAGAGGAGAGTTGTGCGCCACGGCGCCGCATTGGCGCGCGCGTGCGTGCCCTGTTGGGGCCGCTGCCTGCGATCCCGCGTCCCCCACCGCCCCGATCCTTGTTCCTTGCAGACCCCACAAAGCAGCCCGGCGCACTGAATCCGTCTGCACTTGTGCTGAGGGTAACAACTGAGAAATTATTGCAAATGGAGCGAAACACATGCCTTGCAAAAGCGGCTCTTGCTGCCATGGGGGTACGCGGCAGCGCTGTACAAAGAAGCATGCAAAGAGCAAGGGCGTGACCAGAGTGTCTGCGCGACTGGTATGCAGAAGCGAGGAGCAAGAAAAGATGGAAGATCCTGAGATGAACCAGGTGCTGCAGCTGCCAAAACGACCGCATCAGCGCAACCACTCAAACACAACTCAAGCCAACCAAGAGGCCGCGCGGCGCGGCGCAACACAATGTGAGCAAAACACGCAACAAACTCAGCGTGCAAATGCAAGAGAGCAAGAGACTATCGAAACGCCGCCTCGGCCGCGCGACGGGGCCGCGCGATGATTCATCAAGCGAGGGAGGCTGCGGTTGAGGTCGCGTGCGCCTGCAGCAGCCGCGCATTCTGGTCGGCCAGCGCCCGCGCGCGCGCATCCGCCACCCATGCCGCCGCCGCGTCGGCCGCCTGGCTGCCGGCGGCGGCGCGGGACAGCGCGTCGGCGGCGGCGAGCAGGCGGCCGGCGCGGAGGTGCGCGCGCGCCTGCGAGCGCGGGGCGTGCGCGCGACGGGAGGGCATGAGACACGCGGAGAAGTGTTTCCATCCGCCGCCAAACATACAAACACTCATACATCAACACGCACAATGCTATCCAGATACACCACACAGACAGAATAGTGCAGCAGCAGCAGCAATGCCCCAGCAGAGCCTAGCGCCACAGAGCCTAGCGCCCGAGAGCCCGAAAAGCAACGACGACGCCACCCACCTTTGACACAGCCGCGTCAGCGCCGCCGCCCTCGGCGCCCGCGTCCGTCTTGAGGGCGGCCGCGGCGGCCGCGACGGCGTGGGAGACGATGCCGCCGCCGCTGCTTTCCGGGAAGTAGGCCAGCTGCAGCGTCGTCCTGGGACGAGGGGGAGCAGAGTGGCAGGAAGAACGTTGAGGCAGCATTGTGCAGGAGGCACGGAGAGACGAAGGCTTAGAAGGGTGGGGACGACGAAAGGGCTGGGTTTGGAGGCAGGGGGGCGGATGAAGGGGCCAGGGCAAAGTGTGGTACAATGCGTCTTAAGTCGGGGCCATCCTGGCATGGGGGTGCAAAGGGACGGCCCCGCTGGTGTGCACGCCGAGCAGGCCTGGCCGAACCTCCCATGAAATGAGAATGAGGCGACTGCGCGAGCGCCCGTCCGCCCGCGGGCTTCTGTGCGCCGCGGAAGCGCTCGGTGGGGTGCTCTCGGGTTCTTGGTCTCCCCACCTTGCGACCTTCTCGAACCGCGCCTCGAGTTGCGCCTTCGTGGGTAGGCCTGCGGGCCGGCGGCGGGCGATGTCGGGGGAGTGGAAGAGGAAGGTCGTGAGCCCGTCGTACGGGCCAGCATTCAGTGAGGCAACCGCATGGAAAAAGGCAGCCAAGAGAAGGCGCCCGGCTCGACGTGCGGCAGGAGGCTCGACGGGCGCCAGCGGCAGCAGAGGCCTCGGCTGAGCGGTCGGCGCGGCGTCTGAGGGGTGCGCATGTGAGCAAATGCGCTCGCGCGCTCGCACCCGACGCGGCGGCCTTTTCCGGCAGCGAGGCGACCACTGCGGCCACTACAGGGTCGTCTGGGCAGCCGCCCTGCAGCGCCTGTTGCGGGGGAAGAGCGGGGGGC